TTTAAAAATAAATCCTGAGACTATACATGATGTAAATTCAAAAATAATGTGATAATATTTACATTATGTGGGGTCTACATTATTTTGGGTTGCTTTGCGATGTATACCAAGACTCGTGAAAATAAAATAGTGTTCTCTGCGAACTAATATAGACGATTTTTCCAATCTTCTGGTACCACTCGATTTTATTATTTGAACTTGGCGGCAAGTAACCTTTAGTTTCCCAGTCTATTGTGTCCATTCATAGTCTTAACAATAGGGTGTAAATTGCCATGCGAGCCTACCGCACACGACCGCGGTAAACCGGGGTCATGGAATCTATGCATAAATTTGCATAAAATGCGGTCGACCGGCGAGCACCCACCACCACCGCGGTAATGACCGTGGTAAACCGCGAGTTTGATTTCCTACTCTTCCCTAACACAAATTGTTATCTCTGAATGGGTATACGAGATAATGTCTAAAATTTAGTTTGATTGCAATGCACAAGTGTTTCTAAAACTTATATTTTCAAATAAAACTTGATGACTATTGTGAAATACTCACTTATAATATATGACAGCATAACACCTGGGATGTAGTGACCAACAAATGCCAGTACAGAACACACACAACACACCCACATACAAAACTGTAATGAAGAAAGCGAGAGCAATTATTAAATATTCATGAGAATGATTGCGCAATGAATGACAACGGACCCTTAATCAAAGAAAGCTTAGAAAGAACTCTTGTGTGCTGAGAGTATTGGAGACACAGTAAAAAATAATTCGAAATTACTTGTACTTGAGATATTGATGGAAAAGCTGAAAACTAATTATAGTTAATTAGTTACAAATTTTAGTGTAAAACTAATAAGGTCTGCATAATGTAACAGACCAAGTTTCATTGAAATGTGACCAGAATAAAAAAATTATGAACAGATTTTAACCCAAAACTAATCAGATTTGTACATTGTCCTAGTGCATCTTTGTATCAAGTTACATTAATTAGTACTTTTGATATCAGTGTGAAAGCTTAAAATTGATTAATTATGCAAATTAGGTAATTAATGTGTACAGATTTTAACACAAAATTAATCATGTCTGTCTACTGTCCTAGAGCATCTATGTACAAAGTTTAATTGAAATGTGACGATAGTACTTGAGATATCAGTGGAAGAGCAGAAATTAACTAATTATGCAAATTGGGTGATTAATATGCATAAATATATACCGAAAAACTAATTGGTGCTCTGCATAATTTAGATTCATTGAAATGTGATGATTAGTACTCAAGATATCAGTGGAAGAGCTGGAAAATAATTAATTATGCAAATTAGATAATTAATATGCACAATTATTCACCACAAATTTAATCAGATCTCTGCATGGTCCTAGTGAATCCATGTACCAAGTTTCATTGAAATATGATGATTAGTACTTGGGATATGTGTATCAGTGGAAAGACCAAAAATTAACTAATTATGCAAATTAGGTGATTAATATGCACAAATAGTTATCCCAAAACAATCGATCTCTGCATAGTCCTTGAGTATCTATGTACCAAGTTTCATTAAAATTTCACTACATGAAATATCAAAAGCTGAAAATTAATTAATTATGCAAATGAGGTAAATAAAATGTACTGATATTACCCTAAAAATTATCAGGTCTGTGGAGTGTCCTATGACATCTAGATACCAAGTTTCATTGAACTGTGATGAGTAGTACTTGAGATATCAGTGGAAAAACCAAAAAATTATAAATCATTATGCAAATTAAGTCATTAATATGCATGTTTTTTTACCCGAAACTAATCAAATCTGCGCATAAGTTTAGAGCACCTATGTACCAAGTTTCATCAAAATCCAATGAGTGGTTCTTTAGATATAAGTGGAACAGTCATGGAATAGCTAAAAATGTGCTAATTATCATGCAAATTAGGTAATTAATATGCATGGATTTCTACCAAAACTTAATCAAAAATGCGCATTGGCCCAAGGCATCTATGCACCAAGTTTCATCAAAAACCGATGTATAACTCTTGAGATATCAGTGGAACAGATGGACACACACACACACATACACACACACACGCATACAGACACACTAACTGCAAAGACTTCCATTGTGTGCTTCGCACACGGGAGTCAAAAACTCATCTACCTTGCCAGGTTGGTCCTTTCTCATCTGCCAAACTGATGAACAGAATGTAGTAAAGAAAACCCATGTCTCTGCCAAATGATGACATAATTCAGGCACGCTCAAAAGCCTAGGATGTAAAGGTGTCCATCTGTGAGAAAAATATACAAATGTTAGACGATCAGAGTCCTCAAAATAAGTTTGTCAATGACAATGTGTTCAGAAGCATCATTGTTAGAACTGTTTTTAAGTCAGGCTAGATGACACATTTTCACAAACAGTGCCACATAGAGTCAAAACTAAATCAAGTACTAGTAGTAGTTCTCCCAATATAAATGTAATGAAATTATTTTTATTAACATCATATAATATGTTGTTTCATGGTAATGTATTAAGTTTATTGCTGGACAATACATTGTCATAAGTAAGTTATTTCCTGGCATTGTTATGGCCACTACAGGGTTATATAGGCTATACACACAGATTATTCAGTCAGCAATTAAAGTCGGCCAAGTGTTGTTTACAAGAAGCTGACCACAAGTGTGGTTATAAGGTGCGATTAACAACTTATACTATGACAATCCCACAAAAACACAAAATAATGCCAAATGGCATTATTTTATGCTTTGCTTACAAAATACAGATACAAATCAAAGAAACCTTTGAAAGAACTCCCATGTGCATATTGAGAGTATTGGAGACATATTGGAGATGTACAACATTGAAATTCATAATACTTACAGAAAATACATTTGATTTTACATCTGTGGTTTAAAGTCTAATTAATTCCAGAGCACTTCCACCACAAGTTAAATTTAAATCAGATTTTTCGAAATACCAGAAATTGGCTAATAATAATTAGATAATCAATATGCCTGTTTAAAACTTAATTACTTCTGTGAATTACCCAAGAGCATCTATAAACCAAATTTCAATAAAATGTGATGATTATTGTGCAAATTCTGCAATAAGTATCTTTTATTGGTATTGTAATGTGATTAGTACTTGTCAAGTTGAGATGATGGAAAAGCCGAAAATTGACTAATAATTATTCAGATTAGGTAATTAGTATGCATGGATTTTTATGCAAAACTAATCAGGTCTGTGCATTATCTACATAGGATTCGAACAGACAGACAGACACACAGACACACACACACACACACAGACAGAGAGACTCCCATTGTGTGCTTCGCTCAAGAGAGTAAAAAATAAGGTCATCAACTACTTTTTGTATAAAAAATGTGTCAATCACCGATGAAAATTTCTATGGTAAAAATATTTCGGCATATCTCAAAATTTTGTTCAGACACATATGAAAAAATCATATGTAGAAAATTTGTGCTTATAGTTGTTAAACACTATTTATTTTTTATGAAATAATACCTTACCATGAATATCTAGGGAAATAGTTCCAAAAATATCCATTTTTTGCATGTTTTCACACAGTTTTTCTCGAAGAAACTATTTCATACTGGATAAGACATGCTCCGCTGTCCTATAAGAACACTGTGGTAGCCAAGTTGAGCATCGTACAGCCATAAGACTTCTTCTTGGAAACCGCCAGCTCAATTTATACCAAGTATCAAAGCAATTGAGCTGGTAGTTTTCAAAAAGAAGTCGAAAATAGCATTTTTTTAACAAAAATGACAACAATATTTGTCAAAAATATAGAATTGAAGATATTGGCAGAAAATGAACAAATCTGACAGAGGTTCACCCAAAGTACCTACATACCAAGTACCAAAACAATTGAGCTGGTAGTTTTCAAGAAGAAGTTGAAAATGCAATTGTTGATGGACAATCACCTATATGAACAGCTCCGCTCTGTCATCTACTACGATGACAGTGGAGCTAAAAAAGCCCAAAAGTTAATGAATTGTGTCTAAATCAACAGTTATGTAACATTTTGAAACTTAAAAAGGTGATTATTTTTCTGTTTTTATTTAATAGGTTGAATGCCCGCAACAACCTTAAATACCTTATGCCTAGATTCAAATGAACTTTAGTAGAATCTATTTTTAGAGTTCAAGTTACCTGTATACTTATTCAGGTCAAGGACAAGTGCAATCAATACTCCCCACATTCCATTAAATTGATAGTGGTTTAACATACTTACAATGACTAATGGGTAATAATTAAATCATGTAATTTCATGCTTTTAAATGACTTCAATTACTTAGTATAAAGGAAGACTTTCTTCTTTCTTCTTTTATGATCAATGCTTAACGACTAAAAGTTATAGATCCAATACAAATGTTTCCACAATCTTTTTATTACTGCTTCAATAAAGAATCTTATTTATGACTTTCACTGGCTAAAATTCACAATGTAACCAAAATGAGATTTTTTAGGTTAAAATGTGATTGAAATCAATTATTATCATGGTTACAAGTAACCGTGTTATTATTAAATACAGCCTTAAAACAATACTAAATGATAAATACACTCGATTGAATTACTCCATAGAGCACTTTTTCAATACCCAACTATAATTACTTTATATTAATTATAATATTAACCTCACATTTTCAACTGGTCTAGCTAATTGTTTGGGGGTAATTGTTGTTTAATCAATTTTTTATTATAGCTTTAATACTGCATGTTTCACAGTTGTCCATATTTAGAACCTAACACGAATGGTTTAAAAGCTGAATGTATAGCAACCAATGTCAGGATGACATCAGCACAGTATTGACCTACCTATTTCAAAAGATTTAATCAGAAAGATTACCTAAAAAGCAATTACAGAGTGGTACACTTAAGGTTTCTGTTTCTCTCGCATTCAATATCCATCATCAACTATAAAGACTTTCAAGTTGTTTGTCAGTGTATTGTGATGAATCCATTCAGATGAAATGTCTGCACCCACAATGCACCAAAAATGTAACCAAATCTTGATGTTTTTTTCAGTTGAAATTTTGGTTATCACACTTGTGGGAATTTTCCAAAATTTTGCTTAATTACTTATTCCATGGCTATTTGAAAGTCTGAAGAAAAAAAACTATGAACTTCAATTCTATGTATTCTGACCTATTTTCAATTCAAAATGGCCACTAAAATAATCATTTTTCAAGGGTTTCGCTTACTCCACTTATTTATTTGACCTTTGTCAATTATTTCACATTTTTCAAGAGTATACTTTTACATAAATTTTTCAGTGGATTCACCCTTAAGACATTTGCCACTGAACATTGTTAAATTCTGTAACCATGAATTCAATCACTTAAAGCGGTGGTCGTTTTATTTATTTTCCTATAATCCAATGTGCTCTTCAAATGAAAATCACAAGTATGAGGGTTGACCTGGACCAGTGACTCCTTTGATACCTTCCAACCACATAAAAATGACCTAAATAAAGCTTGGAAAAGTCTCAGTTTGTACTCGTTGATCTGCGCAACAGTCAAAGACGACATCTTTGTTTATACGAGACCCATATATCTCACACATGTGACTACCACCCTTCAATTATTCTGAAAAATCAAGTGATTTTTAACAGTCATCTTTTATAAATACTGTATCTCCGACAGAAGCACATGTAAGCCAAAAATACTGTTTGTGCTACATGTTATAAAAGTACACCAAATTTGTATTGAACCATAATGCTAACATCATTTTTAACAAGCAATTTAACATGTAAACACATGCGCCTCTAATAGAGGAAACATAATATTTATATAAAATTCAACAAAAATGAGCGAAAATAACTAAATTTATACAAAATGTAGAATACTTCCACAGTCTAACAGGCTATTACTGGTACTTTTCATATCTGTAATATTTGTTAAATTACCAATTTGAAGTAAAAATTGTTTTTAATCATTTAACATGATTCATTATATATTAAGTATTTACAGACTTCACATATCAGATAACATTATTGAAGCATAGCCATGTTATTAATATCAGTTCCGGATTCCTTGATAAAGGTATTTTGTCTGGTATGTCAGCCATCTCAATTAGCATAAAACAGTAGCAGTTTATTTGGATTATAAATATATTTAGAAAAAGATTAATATATTTGATTAAAATAGATCCACAGAATTCCACATAAAAAATCAGGCCCGATTCAAGTTTTGCATCTACTGGGAAAGTTACTGAGCATATATGCAATGCATTATGGGAGAGAAATTCAAATTTTGCATTCACTAAGCATGTTAACATAACAAAGCAGAGTGATAGTCGTATTTCGGCTACACCAATTCTGGGCTAATATTTAAGCTAATCTCACATGTTTGCATATCGGCTAGACCCAGTTGCATTCATGCACAAGAGGAAACAGTTGTTAGCAAGGGCTATGGAACGCCCAAACTTGTTAAGAATACTGAGTATACAAATCTTCAGTCCTTTTAACTATGATTACTCAGTACAGTAACTGGGAAGATATACATTTTAGTTCTATGGTTATAAAAGGATGTGAACGTTGAATACAATGGCGTTTTGGGCACTTAGCCCGAACTACATGCGTAAGCGTTTGCGCACACTTTGTTAGTTCATGCTAAAAGAACAGGAATGGGTCTGAAAAATAGCTCTGATTTAATTTTACTTAGGGTTTCTCTGCCCGTACTAGGCATTCGTGCACGTTTTTTTTTGCATGGGCTAACATCTTTAACCTCTTAGCCCATGCTAAGGAGCTGCATGCGAAAAAACTAATGTGTACTACATAATTTCAAGGTCAACGATATTGGGTACTGGTATAGAAGGTGATTTCAAGTTATTGTTTTACCCTAAGCTATACCTAAATGACATTAAATCAAAACAAACAGCATGACATTTTCATTTATGACCATCTAAAAATATATGGCCCATTAAACCATACTACATGCATCCTAACAAAAGAACAAAGAGTTCCCTAACCATTCTTCTAGTAACCGTGAATAAACTTAGAAATTCTTGAAATTGATTTAATAAATTTACCAGCTTCATATAAAGCTCCCCTTTCTGTAAGTATTTTGAGTGGTTGATAGCATGATGTGTTGTACACTATGAAATACAGACGCGTAATATTTACACTCTAATGTACATCATCCTCAGGTCTAAAAAAAATTCTGATATATAAAATCTGTTTTGTTCAAGTCACAGGTATTTGAGGAATCAGATATACTTTTATTAAAATAAAAAGTCTTGTGCCATTCAGCAAGGTAAATATCAATACCAGTTAGCACTTGGAAGCTGCAATTTTTTGAGAATATGCCATATTTTTCCATAATTTCTTTGTTACTGTAAATGCATTCATTATTTGCTGGTTTTTAATTTTGCTATTTTTGACGATAAGTACAATTTTTTATTAAAATAAAATTCATATGAAAAATATACTATTGTAGAATAACGATAGAACTCATTGTTTCCCTGCCAAGTCCGTGACCATAAAATCCAGTAAAAAAAGATGCAAGTAATGAAATTAAAATGCCAGTGAAAATAATGGTTTTACAGTAATTTTGGATTAAATGGACTGTTATTATTTGTTTTTCTACCAGCACTATATAACTACATGACATGTGATAATTTTGCATAATGATTAATAACGCCTTAATCAAACCACATCTGGCAGCTGAGAAAACTGTGTCAGATTCTCAACATGTTCCTATACATTCACATAGTTTGGAAACAGACATATTCAAATTTGTTACGAATTTTGTAATAGAAATAACAAAATCTATGACACTTTCAAAGAACATAACATTATGCAAATGTAAAAAGCGCTAATAATTATTGAGCATTGAATACGAAATAAATAGTTTTTCTATGTGCAAATTGTGGCCAAAGCAACCACAACTTGGCCACTGAAATATGGAAGTTATGTGAAACCAAAGAATCCAATAGAAAGACAGAATATGTAAGCAATGTCCACTGAGGGAAGTGGTATGTCTCAAATGTCAGCAGATAGCAACATTTAATTATATCATATATCAAGGGGTCAATGAAATAAAAATAAAACATCATTCATATACTTAAAAATAATGTTAAAACTGGATCCTGCATTACGTAGGTTGCAATGATATTCCATCAATAGATAGAAACCAATTGTTTTATTTTGAATTGAGAAATTTGTAAAAATCTGGAGAATTGGTTTGTTGTAACAATAATACTACATTGTATTTAAGTTTACTGTGACCTGATATTTACACTTGCAACATTCATTGATAGAAACAAAATATGACTCAGTGTATGTAAAATTTTCAAGTTAATTTCAAAACATTTTTATTTTGGACTTCTAAGTAGTTAAAAAACGAATTTAGTTAGCAAACATATGCTAATATTCTATGTCAAGTGCCAAGAAGAATAAAGTCACTGAGGTGGCTTCCCAAAATAGAAGATGACCAACTGTAGTGTAGTACAATGTGTTATAAGATGGTTGGAATAGAATATAGGCAAACAAGATTTGTTGCTGTGCCATTGGTCAGCTGTTGTCCTATATGCACACATCAGCAGTTTTTGTGGGTGTCAACTGTTGACCTAGTTTTCACGTTTGTTTACATTTATCAAGTTAAACAATAACAGCTTGGAGAACAATTAAAATGTTCATTATCATTGGGTACTTAAAAAAAACAGTTAATCGGTAACGTACTCAATGTAGTCAGGTGAGTTATTTTAAACTGCAACGCACTTCAATTTAAAATTTGGCACGAAATCAAGAAAATATCACGTGGTTTTGTATGACAACAAACATGAACCAACTCAGGCGCCGGTCAAATTTTTAACTTACCCTTCTTCTTTTTCGTGTTTTTCAACTGAAACAAGAAATAAAATCAACTCAACACAGCTTCACGGTGATTAATTTTAAAATTAAAACATCAATTAATTATCGAAAACAGTTATAAAGCGGAGTTTCGAGTAGCGGTTGGAAGGTCGAATCAGACTTTACCTGTTATTTCGGGCCACACTCGATTTTTCCAGGTCTCAATACAAATAACAACAATTCCTGTCACCGCTAGCATGAACACCACGCGATAATTTGTTGTTGTAACCAACCTATATAATTAGAGAGGGTCGTATATTTAATGAATATTTCTCATTTAGCACGGAATTTGTCTTTAAATACACGCAGCGCCCTAATTACAGACGAGTGAAGTGTTAGTTCCATGGTTCTTACCAAAATACACCGTTGACACACAGTAACATGATGACACTGTGTCCCGGCTTTTCCCATACAAGAACTCCCTGCATATACATTATTACCGGTTCAAATGGACTCAAAACTTTCTTCAACTTCTCTTCTTTAGCTTTTATATGTCGAAGAACTTCTGGGTCCATTTGATCGGACGCGGGGTGTCGAAAATCCGACAGAGTCGCGCAGTGACGATCCTCGGCCATTTTATTTTAGAACCTGTTTATGTTTTGCAATGACGTCTTGTGAATAATCGATCTCGTGAGTTACGAGAAGTTGGAGTTTACGAGAAAACGTGTGATTATGGCTTTTTAGGTCGCATTGCGCATGTATCTTTTCAAAACTTTACCGCCATTTGCAAGTGTTGGGAATGGTATCCTCTCGGAATTGATCAATATTATCTATCACAGGGAACAGTCCTGTTATTACGAGCTATCCACTGAAACAAGAAGTGCTATACATCATCAGAATGCCTCGTGAAATAATAACTCTTCAACTGGGACAATGCGGCAACCAGAGTAAGTTGCCACTATTTTACCCAAATCGCCTAATCGTTCTCGTCTTTGACGTGAGGACATATTTTTAAAAGGGGGCATGTTGTTGCGTGTAACGACAAGACATTTGCATTAGTGTTAATGCACGTGGACTGTGAAATGTTATTCAAAACAGTGCATGTACAATTTAGTAAAATGATTCTGATCTAAAAAAAATTGTGAATGGAATATTTCATGCTAAAAAAAAGTTTCCACATCTTGTGTGATGGCGCTGATGCGGAAGTTGCAAAACAACTTGGGTCAAACCATCCTCAACAGAAGACGTCGTTAAATAAAAATCATGATTCGATTGTCGTTCAATTTATTTCATTCAATCATATAAATTTATATATGATAAATGGTAAAGTTATCCAAACAAAATGTGTGTACTGACACACTGACTCACAGTATGAAATGTCAGGACACAATTAATATGTGTCTGGTGCAGGTCATAACAATTTTAAATGAGCCAAATGGTACATCTTCGTAAAAGTGGTTTGAACTAAACCAGTTTGTAACAATCTTGAGATATGCATAACAAACCAATCAGCAACTTAGCTGGGAATTTTGCTGCTCGGAACAATATGGCAGTGACAGTAAAAAGGAGTAGAAATGGTTGTTTTGTTTTTGTTTACTGGAATTTTCATGTATACTGTGGCTGCAAGAAAAAATGGAACAGCAATATTGCTGTAAGAGAAATTGTTTTCTGTTGCCACAAAAAGCAATGTCTGTATTGTGAGCATTACAGCTATATCATTAGCAAAACCTTCTGAAATATTGCTGTTCCATTCTTTCTTGCGGCACTGTATACATGGAAATGCCAGTAACCAAAAAAAAAAAGGAAAAAACAATCATATATGGAAATATTTATATTTACTTTTTTATTAATTGTTTTACAATATGCAGACACATGTGAATTTTCATTTTTTCTCGACACTAACGAAGCAATTTATTTTTTTCACAAAATCCTTGTTCACTTCAAGTTTTCAAAAGGGAAACTCCTTTAAAAATGATACAAAATGTAGTTACAACACTGATGACTTGACAAGGAAATAATAATATTGCATGCATCTTTTGTTACAAACTGGTTAAAGTGAATTTACAGTGAAAGAGCCCCCCAAAAAAGTGTAACCATGACTGATACAAAGTGATTTCTTATTATGTTGCAATATCATTAGTTGGTATGGAATTCTGGAAGCAGCTTTGTGCTGAGCATGGAATCAGTCCGGAAGGAATTTTAGAAGATTTTGCCACTGATGGTACTGACCGGAAGGATGTCTTCTTTTATCAGGTAAGTGTAATCATAGTTTATATGCAAAATGTTCTGTATAATAGTATGAACCATCATATCCAACAGAATTTTGTTAACAAAAATTGAAAGTTTAATTTAAAAAAACAGTTTAAAAAGTTGTATCGGTACCCTATTTTTAGCTCCGCTGTCAACTTTGTTGACACAGCAAAGCTGTTCATACTGATTGTCCATCGTCGTCAACTTTACAATTTCAACTTCTTCTTTGAAACCGCAAGTCAGAATGTTTTCAAATTTGATATGCATGTACCTTGGATGGTTTTTTCTCAGATTTGTTCATTTCATGTTAAAATCTCAAATTCTCGATTTTTAGTGAATATTTTTGTCATTTTTGGTAAAAAGTGATATTTTCGACTTCTTGTAAAAAAACACAAGTTCAATTACTTTGATATTACATATATAGGTACTATATGTGCATCTTTCTCAGATTTGTTCATTTCGTGATGATATCTTCAATTCTCTAATTTTGGTGAATATTTTTGTAATTTTTGGTAAAAAGTGATATTTTTGACTTGTTAAAAACCGAAAGTCAGATTGCTTTGATATTACATATATAGGTACTACATGTAGACCTTTCTCAGATTTGTTCATTTCATGATGATATCTTCAATTCTCTAATTTTGATAAGTATTTCTTGTCATTTTTGGTAAAAAGTGATATTTTCGACTTGTTACTGTCACACAACGTAATATTACCGTAATTGGTATAGTACAGGTGTGATGGTTCAAATACCAAAATGGCAACAGTAACATAAA